AATATAAACTCATTTTTAAAGTATCAAACTGAATTTTTGTTCAAGAAAAATCTTTCAAATGCGACTGTAGCTTTTTTTTCCCTAAAACTTTGTCTTCAAAATAAGGGTGCGTCTTATATTAAAAAAAATACGGTAAATACTTAGCAAAACATTATCCACAGACAGTTTTGAGACTACTTGTAGGATAACTAAACAAAAAAACATTATTATCATGGAAATGTTAACTTTCAAGTTTCATCCTAAATATTTTGCTTCAGAGGCATTAGAAAATTTTTGTGGGTAGAAAGGGGTAAGCATAAAGCTTGACAAGTTGAAACCAGACCAAATGACGTTTTTGAAATTTGGCTTCATTAAGAAATATAGTGAATTTTATTTCTTAGGATAATTCATTCAAAACTTCAACTGTTGTAGTTAAGAGTGCCTGCATGTGGATTAAGTAAGATATTTTAATAGTATTGGTGATGTCATATATTTTAGGAGTGGGTTCTGTTACAGTCATTATATGTTATAGTTATAGCTCCAGTTAAGTCATTATTTTTCTAACAGGGTTATTGGCTAATGGAATGAGTTGCAGTAATGTAGGCCTGCACTTTGCAAGTGTTTAAGAAGAGAAATGACTATTATGTTTGTTGTGCCTTTTGTGCACCTCAAGAAAGATGCTGCTGGAATTGCTGTACTATTAATATATAAAATTGAAAAGTGTAGACTACTAAAGATATATGGCATGTGTATTAATGTTGTATTTTATATGCTAGATTTTATTCCTAAAATTATTTTAATTTGAATGCATAGTGGTATATTGAATATATTTCATATATACACACCCACACACTATATAATAATTTCATTCTTTATATTTCTAAATTGTAGCTAGGCAACTATCATCATGGTAGCTAAACCTTTGTAACATGGTTTTTCTGAAGAACATATGACGTATATGCAAAAATTACAGGTTGGAGAGAAAATGTTATTTACAATACAGTTTTTCTTTTCTTAGGAAAGTGATTGAGTCGAAGGACTAGGACCAGAAATTTATACTTGTACTCTGTTGAAATTGGAGGACAAAGTTTACCAATCAACTTGTGATTGATCTTCAAGTTATCTTACCTAGCTTGGTAGGTAGTCATTATTAGTATTTTTGCATAGTTTCTTTATGCAGTTTGTATTTTTTTCAACTATTATGTTACCTTATTGTTGTTCTTTTTTATCAAAGTTCAATTACCACAAACTTCAGAATAATATATTTATTAACATTATCACTTTCATACTTCACCTTCTTCAGAATGTTTTAAGGCTCATTTCCTAAAATATCAGAGTTCAAACACTGAGATTAGAAAATGCAAAACAAAGGAAAACTTCTGATTTGAAATTCATAATAAACTAATTAAAAGAAATCTGAAAAAAGAAAACCTGCAGTCTAAGCCTACTGATTTGTTTTTGATGTTTAAACTGTCTGGGTAACCTTAAAAGTTATTGTTCTATATTTATATACAAATAGCATTTCAGATAAAATTTGGTCTCTCATCATCTAGCCAAACTGATGAGTTCTGGTGTGGAACTTGTCTTCCTGAGCAAAAACTTGTGGCAACCAGATGATGATCTAAAATGCTGTTTTAATGCATTTGTGATTTAAAATCCTTAGGGATAAATCCAAAAAAAAGTGAAAAAAATAATAATAAAATTGCATCCTAATGTTATTTTTATCACAACATCATTTATGTTGGTTTCTTATTTGTCGCTAATTTTTGGAGTTTAAACTGTAACTTTAAAAGAACAATGTGTTACAAACAATGCATGTGTAGATATCATCATGTATAGCTTGACACAAAACTCTACATTTGAATTAAATAACAATATTCAAATAATTCACTTGGATACACACAATATTTCTATCTGGGTTTTTAAAACTATTAAAGTATCACTAAAAATATACTCTTAAAAAATGAATTTATTTTTTTGGGTAGAAACTTCGTGTTAAAACATGTGATAATTATATTTCACAAACTATCTGTTTACCCTTAGTTTTAATTTTACAATTAGTACTGCTTTCCATTTCTTCCTAATGAGAAACAAATCCAAGTCTTTTTCAAGTCCGGTTGATGTTAGATCGCATATGACAATTGGAAGACTGTGTGAATATAGAATGCACAAGTTTTGATGAAGTAACACATAGGCTATGCGCTATATAATGTAGCGACTCAGCTTTTGAACCCTTCAACAACTGTGATATCACTACATGTTAATATTGATCGAGTTTCACTGTATTGTTTCTTAGTCGCATTGCTTTATTGTGTTTCGAGATTCTAGAATGTAATATTCCACCTCTTCTCCAATATAAATTTCACCACATTATAAACGAGTAACTTGTACACATACATCTGCTAATGCTGTAAGATATTCTTCTTAAAACACTTTGTGGAAGATGAAAATTTGATCTAAAATAAGTTTAGTGTTTTTTGTTTTTTACCCAAACTTTTAATCTTCTAGTGACATTTCTGAGACTTCTCTTTCTGATTGGTCAGTTACAGAGAGATTATACTATGTATATGCAATCAAGATGTGAGGTGGAAGTTTTGTCTTTATGCTGTTTCCAATTCCCATGCTGAACGTGTGAACTTTAGTTTAAAGTAAAGATAACACATTGTATTCTCAACTTGTTTTTGTTTTACTTACCACTCACACGATCGTATGTGCACACTTTTCTGATAAATTTTTATTGTGTTTATTTCATTTATCTCAGGAAATAAAATGTTTGTGTTTTATTTCTGTTCTGACTTCAACACCTTGCCATGTCTTTTTATTACACCTGTCACAAATCACTGCACATTAGATCCACAAACTTCTTGCTTTTGCAGAGATCAGGTAACTGTGCACAGATGTAACCTTGAATTACCACTTATTTGGTTTTGTGTAAAATAAAGTCTTATTCTTGTGCTCAGGTAAAGTACCATTAATGACACTCACTAGTTTGGTTAAATCTAAACTTCTGGTTCAACCTTTCTTCTCATGGATTTGTTATTTGGTTACTATTAATATTTGTGCTGATAGCATTAGTGAGACAGTGAGAATGCATATTTTAATTGATAACAGGCTGAAAGGATAAGAATCCAACCTTGTTTTGGGCATTGCCTTGAAGTGTACTTACTTGTTCTGTTAACTCCTGTTTCATTGGTTTTAACTGTGAACCTATGTCGATAGTCATTACTAGACCCACGATCAGACTTTTGTGGGCTCTGAGCAATGAATCTCTAGTAGCCCCCCCCCCTCCCCAAGACCCTACCTTTGCTAGCAACCAAAAATTGTATTGTGAAAATTTTTTACAGTTTTTAACCGAAATATAATATTATAGATGAAAAATTAATAATATCATATATGCATTTGTATAAGCATGTGTAAGAAATGTTTTCACTAGCCAGTCAGAGGACTTTACGTATTGATGTTCCCAAACTCTCCAGTTTCAGCAGCATAGTTTTAAATATCAAACAGGAATCTATTGCTAGTACATATAGTAGAGTATTTTTAGGAAAAAGCTGGTAACATACCTTGTTTGATCAATTTGGGTGTACTGAGTACAAAAACGATATTTAAGAGGTGGAAATGCATAAATTAAAAATGCCCCCGCCATATAGTTATTTTAGTACCGTTAATTGGTGTTGAAGTACTGTTTGCTATTTATATATAGGCAAGTATGGTGTAAATGAAAGAAAATCACTTACCTAATGCCTTTCTTTATGATGTATACAACTTACCTAGTGCCTTTCTTTATGTTGTATACAACTTACCTAATGCCTTTCTTTATTCTGTATACAACTTAACTAATGCCTTTCTTTATGCTGTATACAACTTACCTAATGCCTTTCTTTCTGCTGTATACAACTTACCTAGTGCCTTTCTTTATGCTTTTTACAACTTCCCTAATGCCTTTCTTTATGCTGTATACATTAATTTTTGTTCCAGTTGTACATTTTTAGTGTAAAGAGATTTCAATAATAACAATCTATATGATAAAAGTCACTCTATTCCAAATTTTCTGTGTCGGTAATGCTTGAATCTCTCTTCATAATGTTCCAATTGACTCAGCAGTTTCTCTCAAGTGGAAGTCTCAACTTCAAATTTCAGTCGAGTGGGAATTTTTTATACCTTTATTAACTTACCATGTTTAGAAAAAGATATTAAAATAATAGGAATATGATACTTTACATCAGGGATTTGTATTATTTGTTAACATTTGTCTTCAAAGACTGGGTGTCATGGTGGTTATAATACTCAATTACCATGTGGAAGTCTCAACTTCAAATCCCAGTCATGATGGGATATTGTTAATTTGTGGATTTGCAAAAAGGAAGATTATTTTTGCTCAGCAATCTTATTACTTCTAACAGTCAATTCAACACCTGGTGCCACCTTCACTTTTCTGACTGTTTAAATTTTTGATAATTTCTTTTTTGATTCTCACATTTGCCTTTAGTGCTATCTCCAATTTATTCCACTTATAATATAGTAACTGTTAGTATGAAGATTGTAAATTCCATATGGATGTAAGGATCCATCATTTCTTCCATTTATAGTAACTGTTAATGAGAAGAGTGAAAATTCCATATGGATGTAACAACCAACCATTTCTCCTATTTATAGTAACTGTTAGTGTGAAGAGTGGAAATTCCATATGGATGTAAGAACCCATCATTTCTCCTATTTATAGTAACTGTTAGTGTGAAGAGTGGAAATTCCATATGGATGTAAGAACCCATCATTTCTTCCATTTATAGTAACTGTTAGAGTGAAGAGTGGAAATTCCATATGGATGTAAGGACCCTCATCATTAATGTATGTAAAAGTGATACAAGGTCCTGTCAGATTTTATCTTTAATCTGCAGTGTTGTTATATGTAGGATCAATGTGATTTACTGTACTTAATATAACCAATACTTTTATGTTATTTAGCTGATGTGAATTGTCATCAGAGAACAGTGGAATACACCCATGGTTTCTTGTTCACTGAGGTGTATCATATACCATTCGTAACTGCCCCAAGTATGTTAAGATGTATCGTATACCATCCTTAATTGTCCCTAGTATGTTAAGATGTATATTATACCATTTTTAATTGTCCCTAGTATGTTAAGGGGTATAGTATACCATCCTTAATTGTCCCTAGTATGTTAAGGGGTATAGTATACCATCCTTAATTGTCTCCCGTATGTTAAGAAACAGCAGTTCGGTAGTGTCCTTTGAATGTTCGAAAGTAAATTAAATGAAAGGATTAATAGTATTCTGGAAATTTAAAACTTTTTTTTAGTTTGTCAGGATCAGGGTAACATACGCGAAACATGTCCTTTATATATAACTTCCCCAAAAGTGAATCCGTTTGTTTTTTACCACTAAGCGAATTGGTCTTACATTCAAAGTGGTAAATAAATACGACTACGAAAATAACAACCATCCTGTGTTACCTATTTCCACTACTTTTACACTCTAATAAAAGTACTAGAACAAAGTTTAACACGCACGTAAGACTAAATATAAATACAACTATTCTTAGAGCACAAAGTATGACAGATAGAATATCAGAAAGTATTTTAAATACAATAACTACATAGTGAGTAATAGTAAGAGCATGTGGTTAATAGAGAGATAGTACTGAATGCTAAAGTGAGGCCTACTTTGAATCAGCAGAACCCGGAAATGTCGCATCTATTCAAACCGTAATCCTGTTCCGTTCTTGTAATAAAATACTTTTCCTATAAAGAAGTCTGAATACAAAGAAATTACATAAATAACAGACAAATATATATTCCTTACAGTTTTCAAACAAAGGGGATTGCCAACAGTTGAAAATTAACAAATAAAAATACCTTTACATTCATTAACTGATTTATTTACCGTAGGAAGTCTGAATGCATTTGTTTCATAAGAGGTAAGCATTTTAACAGGTTGAGCGTGGCCCTGTCGTTAGCGTGCCTGGACAGTGGACTTGCGTGTCCATCATTCGCGTCCTGTTACTGCAAAGACAAAAAGGTGTTCCGCAATTTGAGGCCATCCAGCTATTCTATTCAATTAGAGTTGGCATTGAGAGCTCTTAACTATTTTCCTAAGGTATGGAATTACACAAACGTAATATTTACGTTAGGAAATTTAACGTACAAATTCCGCCACTTTTAAAAGGCTTAAGATTTTTATACACTTGTGTCAGTTTTCGAATACCAACAATTGTTTGTCATTCACCCAGTCGTCCTCCAGTGGGACAGCGGTTAGTCTTCGGATTTACAATGCTGAAATCAGGGGTTCGATTCCCCTCGATGGACACAGCAAATAACTCGATGTGGCTTTGCTATAAGAAAACACACACACAATAACAAGTCTTCACTGAATTCTAATATTAAAACTAACGAAACATTCTGCATTAATATAATCTGGTTTTTTCTATGTTTTGAAATAATACAAGACAGCATTTAAAGCATATTAGCTGTTCTAATTTGTGTTGTTCGATCTAGTAGAGGCCCGTTCGAGAACATTTTCCCGTATTCGTAAAAATTTAACTTCTACCCTCTGACCATCATAATACTGAAAAATATTTTGAAACAATATATTTAGTACCGCCTATGTTGCACGCGCAAAAAAAAAAAAAAAATCGGATGTATGCAGTGATCATAGTGGCTAAATCCACCTGTAGATGTCGCCGGAGTATCGAGTTGTCAGCAAAATATAACCCCGCTTCTTTATTGAACAACCATTGGTTTTAGCCTTCTACAGAATCTTTATTCGAAGACTTCATGACAAAGGTAAGTTATTATACTTTATTTTGTAGTCTGTATATATATATATATATATATATATATATTTGGAGGTACTAAGCACATTATTATTATTTAAACTAATATAATATTAATGTATGCTCATAACGTGAGTGCTG